AGAGAGAGAGAGAGAGAGAGAGAGAGAGAGAGAGAGGCGGGGATCGAGATCCGAATTAGATTGCTCGACTTGTGAAAGGAAGGGAGGAAGATGGAAGGTAGGAAGGGAGGAAGAGAGGAAGGGAGGAAGGGAGGAAGAGAGGAAGGGAGGAATACAAGTGACTGACTGCTAAATTCAAAACGGAGAACTGTGTTTTCTTTTTCTTTTTTTCCAGAACTCGGGATATTGGTCTTGCAAAATCTGCGAGCCGACGCCGGTGTTGTATTCTCTGAAAAGGCTTCCACCACAAACCACTCCACAGTGCAGACGATCCCACAGCGACTGCCAATTGGAAATCTCCTGTGTTCGAGGAGGAGGAGGAGGAGGAGGAGAAGGAGGGAGGAGGGAGGAGGGAGGAGGGAGGAGGGAGGAACTCCCTTGTGTATCATCTCGATCTCGTCTTGCCAGCTGGAAGGAACTCCCTTGTGTACAAAATATGATTTTTATGTACAGATTAAAACAACGACAACAACGACAAAGAGGAGGAGGGAGGGCGACGACGATACACGACGCCATCGCTGAAGTTGTGGGTTGAGTGCACCCTCTCCTCCTCTGCCTCTCTTGCGATCCCTCAACACGGGCATCTCCCTACTCACCGCTTCCAAGCTTCGTTCGAGGGCAATTGCAATGATCCTTTCCTTTAGAATGTCGCGGAAGGTTCTGCGATCGCATCCTTGACTCGCTTTTCTGATGGCATCGCATCCTCAACCCACTTCCCAACTTCGAGGGCAATTTCCACCGACGTTGAAAGAGAGTTTTTGGGAGTTTCGCGGAAGTTTCGCGGAAGTTTCGAGCAAGTCACCACAGTCGCATCCTCGACTCCTTTCCCAGCTTCAAAGGGCAATGCCCGGATAAAGTTCCCGGAAAGTTCCCCGGGCAACTTCGGCGCCAGTTCGGGGCAGTCGCATTCGCAAATTAAAGCTTCGAGGGAAATTTTTCCACCGAAGGTGAGAGTCTGAGAGAGTTTCTGAGAAGTTTCGCGGAAATTTCGTGGCAGTTTCGAGCAAGTCACCACCACGGTCGCATCCCGGACTCACTTCCCAGCTTCAAAGGGCAATGTCCAGCAACGTTCAGAGGAAGTTTCCGGGAAGTTACCGGGACTGTTCTGCGACAGTTCGGGCAAGTTGCATCCGCCAAAAAGCTTCTTTGGCACTGCTGTCCCTCACCGAAGTTTTCTCAGTGTTTGGCGGGAGTGTTTGGCGGGAGTGTTTGGCGGGAGAGTTTGGCGGGAGAGTTAGTATTACGGCGATTCGCATCCTCAACCCGCTTGCTTGCTTCGAGGACCACTGACTGGACGGTCGCTGTGTGCGCGGAGCCGCAGCGCGCTGATTACGGACGGGGAAAGTTCGGCGAGGTTTCCAGGAAAGTTCCGGTGTCTCATCATCATCATCATCATCGTCACGGTGAAAGTGAAAGTGAAATGTACGAGGTTAGTTTCTGGGCGAGTGGTGCCCCGTGATGGCTTTCCTCCTATTAAGCCGTCTCTAACAGTTCTCTCTCGAAATAAGAGTCCGTGAGTTGCAACGTAATCAAGCCACTGAGGATGCCGGCGAACGGACGTCGGGGTGCATCCGATCCCGAGGCCGATCCCGATCCCGATCCCGATTGCCGCCGATTGCGATTGCAGATTGCCTATCGGGAGGGTGAACTTGCTCTTCTTAGGAGGAGATCCCACTGGCAAAGGAGATTGAATCAAGCACCTGAATCTGGATGGGTTTTAAGCAGAGATGCGGAAAAGCGGATGGAGGCCGCCGAAACTGCACTGTTCCCGTGTTGTAGTTCACATCCGCTGAGACGGTATATTTATATACATACATACATACATACATACATACATACATACATACATACATACATACATACAAACATATATATAGAGAGAGATATTCTTGTGACAAGAGAGAGAGAGAGAGAGAGAGAGAGAGAGAGAGAGAGAGAGAGAGAGAGA